ATGCCATCAGACCTGGAGTTTCTCCAGCATTCATCTTGTTTGCTCCCCTTATCACATTCTGCCAATCTGAAAAAGGTCCATTCATGCATTCTCTGTGTTTTCTGCCAGCTGGCCAGTCTTCTACTGATGCAAGTATATTACCTGATAATATGAGCTCCACTTTGTGCAATAGCTTTTATGTGGCACTTTTATAAATTAATTCAAGAAATGGGTTGAACCAGCATTTGTTGCCCATCTACAACTGCTCCTGAGAAATGATGAGCTGCCTTCTTACATGACTGCAGTCATGTGGTGTAGGAGCACCTACAGGACTGTTAGGAAAAGAGTTCCTGAGTTTGATCCCATGACAGCGAAGAATCCACAATATGCTTTCAAGCCAGGATGGTGTGTGCCCTGGGAGGGAACTCGCAGCTGATGGCACTCTCATGCATCTGCTCTCCATGTTGTTCAAAAGCCTACGAGAATTTTGCTGACAACTGTTAGCAAGATGAATAATGAATGGTGTTCCTGTATTGCTGGCCACACAATCTGAGCCAATGTCTTTGTTCATAAGTAGCCCTCAGACCCAGCAGCAAGAGATGGACAGTTACCTCACATTTCTGACATGTAAGATGTTCATAAACAGATCTAGCAACTCAGGAGTAGGCATCCATGAAGTGCTGTGGGCCATCAGCAGCAGCAGAATTAACTCCAGCAAATTCTGTAACCTCATGGTCTGGCATATTCCCCATACTAACATTGCCAATGGGATCAACTGTGATTCAATGAAGAGTGCAGGAAGATATGCCAGGTGCAGCACTAGGCATATGTAAAAATGAGGTTCAACCTAGTGAAACAACAAACCAGGACTGCCTGTGTGCCAAATAGCACAAACAACAAGTGATAGACAGAGCCAAGTGATTCCACAACCAATGGATCAGATCTAAGTCTGCAGTTCTGCCACATCAAGTTGTAAATTATTGTGATCAATTCACCGGAGCAGAAGGGTCCACAAACATCCCCATTGTCAATAATGGGGAGCCCAGTACATGAATGCAAAAGATCAGACTGAAGCATTTGCAGCCATCTTCAGCCAGAAGTGCCAAGTTGATAATTTATATCAGTCCCTGCCAACGGAATCCATCATCACAGATGTCAGTTTTCAGCTGATTCAATTCACTCAAATGTAATATTAAGAAACATTTGGAGGCACTGGAAATGCAAAGGCTATGGGCCACGACAACATTCCGGCAATAGTACTGCAGTCTTGTGCTCCAGATCTTGTCGCTCCCCTGACCAAACTCTTCCAGTACAGTTACAACTCTGGTGTTTACCCAGCAATGTAGAAAATTGTCCGGGTATGTCCAGTCACAAAAAGCAGGACAAACGCAACCCGGCCAATTACCACCTCATCAGTCTACTGTCGATTATCAGTAAAATGATGGGAGGGGCCATCAACAGTGCTATCAAGCAGCACTTGCTCAGCAATAATTTCTCAGTGACGCCCAGTTTGGGTTCTGCCAGGGCCTCTCAGCTACTGACCTCATTACAGCCTTGGTTCAGACATGGAAAAAAAAGCTGAATTCCACAGGTTGGATGAGAGTAACAGACCTTGACACCAAGGCCCCATTGGATCAAGTATGGCATCAAGGAACTCTGGTAAAACTGGTGCCCATGAGAATCAGGCTTCACTGGTTAGAGTCATACCTGGTACATTGGAAGATGGTTGCGGTTGTTGGAGTTCAGTCACCTTAGCTCCAGGACATCTCCGCAGGAGTTCCTCAGGGTTGTGTCCTAGGCTCAACCATCTTCAGCTGCTTCATCAATACCCTTCCCTTCCATTACTAAGTTCAGAAGTGAGGATGCTCACTGCTGATTGAGTTTAGATCTAATCCAATGGTTGTGGGATTGCTTAGCCTGTCTCTTATGTGCCACTTCCACTCTTCCTGTAGTGTAGCTTAACCAGATTGACACCTCCCTTTTAGGTGTGCCTGGCACTGCTTTTGGCATGCCCACCTACATTCTGAATTGAACCAGGGTTGGTCCCTTGTCTTTATGGTAATTGTAGAGTGGGGGGAATATGCTGGGCCATCAGGTCACACGCTGGTTGAATACAATCCACAGCACTTCATGGAAGTCTGGTTTTGGGCTGTAGACATTTTTGAAAGCTATTCCTTTTTGCACGGTGATAGTGCCACACATATTTGTGGAGAAATTCATTCATGTGAAGGTGGGACTTTGTTTTCACAAGGACTTTGTGGGAGTCCCTCCTGTCAAGATTGTCAAGAACAGATGCATCTGTGATAGGTAAATTAGGGAGGGCAAGGTGTTTTGTTGCCTCACTATCTACTCTAGATCCAGTCCAGCAGTTGTGTCCATTAGAACTTGGTCATCTCAGTCAATAGTGGCCCCAATAAACTACTCTCGATGATAGACTTTGAAGTCCCTTACTCAGAATACATTCTGTAACCTTGCCACCCTCAGTTTTTCCTCCAAGTGGCGTTCAATATGGAGGAGTTCTGTTCATCAGCCGAGAGCAGGAGATTTCCTTGTCTATGTTTGACCTTATGTCATAGGACTTCAGGGAGTCTGACAACTCCCTCCTGACTGCATACTACTGTGCTGCCACCTTTGGTATATCTGGCCTGCTGACGAGACAGGACATATCCAGGGACGGTGATAGTGTTTTCTGGGGCATTGTCTGTAAGGTATGATTCCATGAGTATGACTGTCAGGCTGTTGCTTGACTGGTCTGTGGGACAACCCTCCCAATTTTGGTACAAGTCCCCAGATATTGGTAAGGAAGATGTTGCAGTGTCAATGAGGTTGTGTTTGCTGTAATAAAAATACAAAGTATGAGTGGAACTCAGCTGGTCTGGTGGTATCTGTCGTGAGAGAAACAAAGTTAACACTTTTTTAATATGACTCCTCCATGGAACTGTTTGCTGTTGTTTCTGGTGCCTGGGTTGGTACCAGATGGTTTGGCTGACTTTGAAACAGTATGAAACAACAGAGACAGTAGGAACCGCCGATGCTGGAGAATCTGAGATAACAAGGTGTAGAGCTGGATGGACGCAGCAGGCCAAGCACCATCAGAGGAGGAGGAAAGCTGACTTTTCAGATCTGGACCCTTCTTCAGAAATTTTTTTTTTACCAAGTTTGATAATATTTTGAAAAATTAAATGCTTTGACTACTCTTAAAACTTAGACAATTATATAAATACGCTAGTGCAATTATTTCTTCATGTTCCAAAAACCAAATCATATATTTAGAAGCATAGTTTGCTAAGTTAAAAACTGCTTTATCAATGCAGTACGCACTTACTCCTTATGAAATGTACACAGAATCCATTTACAAAATGCCAGTCCACCACATGATGTAAGTTGGTCAAATGAGAAATACAGCAATAATATGGTTGTGCAACTCAAAATTGCTAAGTACAGTCAGTAATTTAAACTGAAGATCTGAAATGTGTCCAAACCATTGTGACATATCTCTTTACTTGAAGAAACACAGAAACACAACCATGCTTAAAAGAATTATAAATGCAAACTGGTGATAAATCTATGCTGGTGGATTATTGTTTTCCTATCTCACCCTGTATTGAGGTGCACTACTGATGTATGTCTCATGAGTGTAACCATAGGCTGCCTGGTAAGAACGAAGGCATGATTGAGTACTAAATGTGCACAAGACAAATGTTCAGGTTTAACAAGTACAAACATAGTTAGTTGGTTGCTGGTTGTGCAATTAGGACCTTCAGAGCATTCATTGTTATCTGGAAGTGAATGGGAAGATCTGATATCCCTGGTGACGGACTTACCTGTACAGGTGTACTGGTGTATAGACTTAATAAAGTATCAAATGTCAAACTAGTTTTTAGATACATTTATCAAAAATAAAAAAGAAACATTCAGAAATTCTGCCACAGCACATATTAAAAGATGTGACACTTTTCACAGGTCACCTACAGTGTGGAAACAGGCCGTTCAGCCCATCAAGTCCACACTGACCCTCTGAAGAGTATCCCACCTAGACCCACTGCCCTATCTTACCTTTGTAGCTCTGCATTTCCCATGGTCAACCCACCTAGCCTGCACAATGTGGGCAATTTACTATGGCTAATCTTGTACATTTTGGACTGTGGGAGGAAACCTGGAACACCCAGAGGAAACCCAAACAGACATGGAGAAAACATGCAAACTCCGCACAGACAGTCACCCAAGGATGGAATTGAACCTGGATCTCTGGCACTGTGAGATAACAATGCTAACCACTGGGACACAATGCCACTCTTTACAGCCATTAATTTTCATCAGACTGGGTTCTATCGACCTTTTTTCTACTTTTACCAAAACTGAACTTACTTTTCTATTACATTTTGACTAACTTGTAAACAAAATTATCAGTGAAACAAAGTTAACAAGCTGATCAGATTGAATTCTGTTACCATTGCTTTTGAAGAATTTATATGTGTTTGAAAGTAGAGAATTTTCACTGTTTTGTGTATAGGATATGATTGTTATAGAAGGATAATTAAAAAAAAACATATTCAGGGGCTAAAGAAGAAGTAGGCATTTATTACAGCAAGTTTTGTACAATAATACCAAGTGAAAGTGACAAGATGGTGCATCTTGTTAATGATTCATGTTTCTTAAATGCCTAAAACTACTAAAATACGTTATAGGATATTAGCCATTTAACTTTCGTAGTCAGGAGTTAATTGAAAAATCTATCTGCAGAAATCCCTCTGTGAATAAAATTTTAAAAATTACCTCCATCATTTAATTAAATCTTGGTCTAAGAAAATGCATTAAAGGATGGACTGCAAAATTCAAATAATCTGGTAAGCTCTAACATTTGAAAATTATTGCTGCAACAATTTTATCAGCATCATAGATCTGCTTAAAACAACTTTGTACTTTTGCACAGAACTTGCAATTTTGCTGAAACAACATTAAAATTTAAACCCATGGCTAAAATAAGTTGGTCTTGTGTTATTTATGGGTTTGTTTCCTACCTGAGCTGCTTGAACGGTTCAGCTCTGACAACTGGTGTCTCCACAGAATGTTCAAAGAGAGCACCTTCTGGCCCTGGATAAAGAGAGACATAAGAAATGCAATTCAGTCGAACCAATGACACAACAGAGGCTCAAGATCAAATGAGGGACGTGGTTTTCATGTCAAACATAATGGTTGCAATTCCCTGTCGAGTAAACCTAAAAGTATTCCATAATTTTGGATCAAAGACCTTTCTGTAACCAAAATAATAACTGAAATGTTTATGATTGACCATAATATCAGCTCTGTAAGTCATCGCTGACAACTATAGAACACAATTTGTTTTTGAGTTCCATCTCTGTCACCAACGTAAAAACAAATGTTTTCCTTCTTCACCATCATGTAACTGAAAGCAGGGGCCAAATTTCCTTTCGTTGTTAGGGGTCAGTGACAGTGTATGATGTTTTGCATCCTTGTCTTCTGTCAAAATTTACAGCCCGTTTATAATTTTGGCAGGAATAGCAAAGGTATAAAATCTCACTATGCTTCTGAGGTTCTTTAGTGAGCAAACAAAGATCCTCTACATGGACAGTTAAGAAATTAAAATAAAACAAGATCACATAATTTTCAAAATAAAGCGAACAGAACATGTTGGGAATATCATTACAATGATGAGATTGTTTAATGCCATAGAGGACTTCATCACTTAGGGATGGGTTATAATGTTTTAAAAGTCAAATACGTTTTGCATTTATGAGAAGAAAATGGAGTTAGGAACTAATTGGACAACTGAATAACACATGGTGGGTTGGATATTCATCCTCAAGGAAGATGGCACTTGCCTCAGGAGACAGTGCCACTAAAAGGACTATTGTTCCAGAATAGGGTGGAGATAACAAAGTTGGGTGAATGGCCCCCAGAAATAGTTCAGTGCCACATGACAAGGTGGACTGTTTACAAAGGCCTCTGAAAATTCATGCCAGCTGTCAGTCAAATAGCCCTTGCATGAAAGCCCAAACATCTATTAGTCTATTGAAACCGCTGTGCTCTGGGGAAAACCATTACTTGATAGACAGCTCTTTTGCTGTGATTTGTTCGGTCAATTGTTTATTGAAAAAAGATAAACGGGTTTCAAGTGCTGGTAGTTTTTGCCGTTGATACTTTAAAGTTCTCTGTGTTGAAGCTTTTATAAGGTTGCAGTGAAAAGAGTTGTTTTTGAGAATATGAAAAATCAAAAATCAAAAAAATTTTAAAGCATTTTCAAAAATTCCATTGTTACTATAGAGCTGATTGGTTCTACATAGAGATTATAACTGGTGAATGGGGTAAAAATGTTGTGGTTTAGCATGGAGGTTACCAGGGCCATTGGGAGTAGGGGCATATGAACTTATAGATTAGGAGCAGAAGTAAACTATTCAGCCTTCAAGCATGCACCATATTCAATACATTGATGATTGATCTGTGTGTATTCTGAATTTCACATTCGCATTTAGCCCTTATAATGCTTGATTCCTTTGCCTAACAAGAAACTATCTAGCTTCTTCTCAAATACACTCAATGACGCTATCTTCACTACATTCTGCGGTAGAGAATTCCAAAGTCACACAACCTTCAGAGAGGAAAACAATTTTCCTCTTCTCAGTCCTTAAAGGGTGACCCCTAAATTTAAAACAGTGCACCCTAGTTGTGGACTCACCCACAACAGTAAACATACTTTGCACATCCCTCTTATCAAGACCATTCTTATATACTTCAATCAAATCACCCTTGCTCCTCTAGACTCTAGTGAAACAAGCCCAGTTGATCCAATCTTTCTTCAAAAGACAATGGACATATTCCTGGCATCAAAGTAGTAAACTGCCGCTCAACTAGTTCTGAGGAAGGGTCACCGGACCCGAAACGTTAACTCTGTTTTCTCCTTCACAGATACTGCCAGACCTGCTGAGGTTTTCCAGCAACTTTGTTTTTGTGCCTCTCAACTACCTCCAATGTATTTATATCCCTCTTTAAAACTGTGTGGAGTATTTGAGATGTGGTCTCATTGATGAATAGAATATCCTTTATTGTCACGTGTACTCAGTACAGAAGTACAGGAATACAGTGAAAGGTTTCTTACAATGGCTGCCTTTAATGGTGCCGTCTTAGGTACAAATCCTGGATACAAAACAAAGGAATAAAAGGCAAAATAGTAGCATTACTTACAGTGTCTGAAAAATAAGTTAAAAATAATACAGTTGTAACAAGAATTGAAGGATTTACATTATAGTCCGGCAAAGAGTTTTAAGATGCCCTGTATAACTGAAGCGTAACATCCTTACCTTTATGGTCAATTCCTCTTGTAATAAAGAATAGCATTCTGTTAGTTTCCTTAACCACTTGTTGTACCTGCACATGATCTTTTTGTAACTTATGTCATAGAATACTTATACCTCTCTGAGACCTAGAATTCTGCCATTATGCTGCTTTTTTAAAATTCTTCCAGCCAAGATCAACCACATCACATTGTCCTACTTTATACACCATTTTCCAGATCTTTGCCCACTCACTTCATCTGTCTATATCACTCTGCATCCTTGTTATATCATCTTTGCAACATACATTTCTACTTATTCTTGTGTCACTTTACTTTTGCTTTTTCTTCTTAGATACCCTTAAAAACTCTTGCCATCTGTTTTTACATTTCTAGCTAACTTCCACTCATGTTTTAATTTATTTGTCCTGAGTAACCTTTTAGACACCGTTACGACATGGAGATAGACAGCCAAACCAAATCAGCCTTTCTACCTCTGTATTTGCAACAGAGTAAAATTAAACCTTTGAAGATCCCCAATAATTACTGCAATGGTTCCTAACCAGTCTTTGGAACATCCAATCCCAGACTTGTGAATATTTAATTCCAGACATTATTTTTTGTATCTCAAACTAAAAACTGAACCATTTTTAAACATATAATAACTTTAGCAGAGAACAAAAATAAACAGCAAGGTAATCTGATTAATGTCTATGTTTTAAACCTAAAACATTTGTTTTCATCCCCCATTCACACACACAAAAAAAAGACAAACACAGTTAAGAGATAAATAAAAGAAAATAACAAAACCAACCATATTACTTAAATGCCTTTCACACTGTGTTGTTTCGCAGGCACAGATGTGGACTCCTTGGTTGCTTTTCTGGAGCTGCTAACCAGGGTCACCTTCTCAGTTCGCTCAGACAAATGTAGTAATATTCCTAACTCAGCCTTCTACTCTCTAGGTTCCAAAGGCCGGTGTGGGAGGTTAGGCAGGGAACTTTCAAATCTTCATGCTGTGTTGTCTGCAGCCAAGCTCATCTCCTTCACACAAAACGCAGTTCAATTACGACTCTAACTCTGATTCTGCTCTGATAGACTGAATGTCTTTTCCTGAGGCTTCAATAACCACTCAGCATCTGCCATTTGCTTGAACATAGGATCTCTTCCAGAATTGTCAAACCAAATTCTGAGGAACTGATTTGGTTAATAGCCAACTCAATGGTCTTCCTGGTCTCGCTGTGATGTTGGGAAATCTCTGATCAAGGCTCAGCCTGTAATGAACCTCCAGGCCTGGCCTCACAGAAACAGAAGGTTGTTTTGGTCTGTTAATTTTCCTTTGACCATTAGCTGTTTCAAAAAGTACACAAGTCGTCTTCAGCTCCAAACCAAAATTGATAAAAGAATGAAAATAAAAATAATGTAAAATCAATAAGGGTAACATCATTCTCTGCTATTTTTTGTATTCTGGCCAGTCATCTGACCTGCCACTCACTTTTGCACAATTTTATGTGCTTTTTTCCTTAAATTTGATATTCTTCTTAACTTCTTTAGTTAATCACAGATGCAGGGTCTTCCCCTGAGGAATTTTTCGTTGTAGTAGGCATACACTTATTCTGAATTCACTGAAATTTCCCTTTAAAATGCTTTTCTACTGATCTATCTTCTAGACTAATATTGCACTTCAACTCATCCAGCTTTCATGCCCATTTGGTTGTTCTTTTTTAAGTTTAAAGTATAGTCTTAAGCTTACTCTTCTCCCTTTTAACTGGATAGAAAATTCAATCATAATATGATCATTGCTACCTAAGGTACCTTAGGTCATTAAATAATCCTGTTACATTACACAGAATCGAGTCCAGTATAACCTCCTCTCTGTGTTCCGAAGCTGAGTCATATCAGATTCCAAAAGGCTAACTCTGACTCTTTCCACAGATGCTGCCTGACATGCTGTGTTTCTCCAGCTCTTTCTGTTTTTACATTAGCCTGATCTCTGGTCCAGAGTGTTCTATTCTCAGGAATTCTCTCAAAAGCATTCTATAGACTCTTCATCAAGGCTGCTGTGACAAATCTGAATTTTCCAGTTTATATCTAGATTAAAATCATACAAAATTATTGCCATCCATTTATCTTAAGCCCACTTACCATAAGCCCACAATATCCCTTCTTGTATACTTTGTCCTGCATCATGGTTACAATTAGGGAATCAGCACATCACTCTCAAAAGCGATCTCTTTCCCCATATCTTTCTCATCTCCATACAAATTGATTGTACATCCAGATCTCCTGAGCAAGGTCATCTCTAACTATTGCATCAGCAGCATCTTTGAATAGCGCTGCTACCCCACCACTTTTTCCTGGCTTCCTACACTTGTTGAATATTCCTATATTCCTCTTATTTGCTTGCTTTCTTAACGCTCACTCACATTGCTTGGACATGAGGAGCCATTTGGGGTAGGGATGGGGAATAAAAGCTCAGCATAAGGGCATGACTAAGACTTTTTGAACTTGCCATTCAAAGGTTCCCTCATTTAGCTTCTGGTTCATGATATCTCCAAGGTTCCATTAAATACGAGTTTCTTTCAACACTTTAATTAATGCCCCGACTCCATGAAAACTGTGGAGAAGTAGGAGATGCTGATCTCTGGCATGGAATTGGCTGGATGGGTGTCAGGATCAGGGCTTGTGATCATCTTAAAATGTTTTGCAATGGTTTTATTTCAAGAATTGGAATTCAAAAAACAGGGTTTTTGGCCTACCTCAGGAAGAAAAGGGTGTAAAAGGGAAGAGGAGTAATTAAATA